AGTAAGATACCAATCATATTTTTAGCAGTGTTGTCGATATCTTTTAACTGTGGTAGAGACTAGAAGGTTATCAGAATTTAAAAATTCCGGCGCAAATCGATTTGTTTCTCTAACTAGTAGAATTGATGATCCACGAGTCGGAAGAACGAAGTCTACCGTCAATTAAATCCTCTACAACAGACGATTTGTCAAGAGTTTGTCTCTCCCTCAGAAAGTATTCACATCCTAATCACCACGGAACAATTTGTCTGTTCTTTTTATTTCGCTGTTGCACGAGAAAGGCAAACAGTATTTTAAACTCTTGATTCATTGCGGAAACTATTTCCAGCCCAATGGCGGCTAATACAAAAAAGTTGTCCTTTTTGAGAAAAGAAGTTTTTATCAGAATTTGAAGTCAATTTTGTTTTAAAGATGAATAAAGCTCAAACCTTCAAATTAACTTTGAGTTATTTTTGTTTTGTTTTTAGATTTATCGTAAATCGCAACATCCACAAGCATACTTCTGTGATTTATGTCTAAAAACGTACTGTGTTCGATGTGGAGTTGAATATCATATGGGTGCTACATGCGATGAATATCACAGACTTGTAAATTGGAAAAAAGAGGAAGAAATAACAATGCTTAATATAGGTAAGTCTGGATTGATTGAAGTTCAAAAACTTAGTCTACGTTAATATTACAATTTTCTATTTCTATTATATTCAAAGGAAAACTGAAATTTAAGCCATGCCCGGCATGTAAACAAGTGATTGATCGATATGAAGGATGCAATGCAGTCAAATGTAAATGTGGCATTTCATTTTGCTGGCTCTGTTTCAAGACTGATCGCCAAGATAGTAAGTCAATGTGATATGTGTGAATATACACGATATTAAAGCTGATCGATATTCATCTAATAAATTTTTATTTCTTTGTTATATTTTAGTTCACTATCACTATAATGACAAAAAATCATCGTGCTATAACAAATGTTTTACACTAACCTGAAACGCTCAAAGCAAAAGTGGAAGACTCGGATGACAATAGTGATGGTGTCGACGCCTGAATTCAGGAATGAAAATTACACGTTTTTTCCTAATATTGATTATTTTTATTTCTTGTTCAATTAATGTTTCTTTCTGTAATGTGATCGGTTTTTCAAAAACTATTGTTTTGACAAAGAATGCATTGTATTGGTGATATTGGTTTAAAAAGAGTGTAGATGTGGTTGCAATACAAGTGTATACTCACAACCACACCCACCCTTAATAATGCATTCCCATACTGTTTGATTAATATATAGACTGTAGTGAGCGAGGTGATTGAGTAGCATTGTGAGTAGCTGCGCCTCTAAAGCTTTATTGAATAGATTCTAAAGCATTCTCAAGATCGAAAAGCCAACAATAAGTTTCTTCTAGATTGGTGTGGGTGTTTGGGTGCAGAGAAGCTACACACGAACACCCACACCCGCACCCACACCCACACCTACACCCACACCCACACCTACACCCACACCGACACCCACACCCATACCCATCCCATACCCATACCCACATCCATACCCACACCCACACCCACACCCACACACAACCCACACACAACCCACACCCACACCCACACTCACACCCACACTCACACCCACCCCACACCCCACACCCACCCACACCCACCCACACCCACACCCACACCCACACCCATACCCACCCACACCCTAATTCAGTTTTATGAATAAGAAAAATGGGTTTGTTTTAGGGGTGGTAAAAAAAGAAAACTTTAGATGTAGTGAAAAGAGAGAAATTTAGAGTTTTTTGATAAGAAAAATAAGCTATTTTGAGGTAATGAATGAGAGCAGACTTGTTTTTGATGAATTTTTAATATAATTTTTAATTTTTAATGTAATTTTATTTAATTTTAATTTTAACAATAAATAAACATAACACAATAAATTGTAATAAGCGACGCGTTTCGAATTCTCTTCAGACTATGAATCACTAACTATTTTTTCTTTCCACTCGTTCCCTAACTCTCGTTCAATAGAATAATTCATCATCTCAATGGGGGCTACTATTCTCATTTGGGTATAGGGTGTGCGTGGGTGTGGTTGTGGATGTGTGTGGGTGTGGGTGTAGGTGTGTGTATGTGGGTGTAGGTGTCTGTATGTGGGTGTAGGTGTGTGTGTGGATGTGCACGTGTGTGGTGTGGGTGGGTGTATGTGACTGTGGCTGGGGTATGGGTGTGTGGTGTGGGTGGGTGTGGGTGTGGGTGTGGGTTGTGGGTGGGGGTGGGGATGTAACTATTGTGTTCGTTCGTAGACAAGCCCACACACATCCACATCCACAGCCACACCACACCCACCCCACACCCACCCACACCCACACCCCCACACCCACACCCACAGCCACACACCCACACCCACACCCACACACTCACACCCACACACTCACACCCACACACTCATACCCCACACCCACCCACACCCACACCCACACCCACACTCACCGATACCCACACCCACATCCACCCCACACTCCACACCCACACCCACACCCTAAAATAGAATTTTATTCGAAGAATTTTCGTTTAGAATTACAAGCAAAAGTTAAATTTTGTGGTAAATCAATGGGTAAGTATGTTTTTTTATCCGAAATTTATCTATTTAATTTAGAACTATTTCCTGATTCACTGAATACATTAATATTTCCAAAATATAATGAAACAATAACATGGAATAAATGTACGATGTATATACATAATGTTCTATCATCAGAACGATGCATTGATCATTGGTGATGTTCTTGTTGAATGTTCATTTGGTAATAAAGCTCAAATTAGTTTTATTCACGTTTGAGTTTTTTTTATTTAAAATGAAAAACGAAAATTATTTCTATTTTAAATAATTTTAGAGTAATTATCGAACACGTTTAAATAATGTAGCTGGCGATAGTGAAGATCCTACAGGAAAAGTAGTACATAAAATATTTGGTGATTGGCATGAAAATGTTTTTTTGTGGAAATGATCAAACAGCTAAATGTATTTGGCCACAAAGTATGTTATGAGACAAGTCATTGTCACAAATAGAAATCTTGGGTTAGCTCGCAAATAGTAATAAAGACAAATGAGTAGTGACATAAAAATTCGGTGTACTTAGGGTATATCAAAAGTAATGATACCAACACTATAATATCGTATAGAATACTAATAGTGCAAATAGTGCCCTATAATTCTACAATACTTCATCATTCTTCAGTTGATATCATAATACTAAAATTTCGATGAAAACTGTTCACATCTATTTATTAGATGATGTAATCATTTATGCATCATCTCCTTCTTCCTATATTAGTTGTAGTATCATCGTGTATGTGTGTTCCATCTATAACAACTTTAGTTAGTATCTTCTTTAAGTACACTGATTCTGTTTTAATCCATTATGTGGAACGAGGTAAAACATCAGGAATTGTTTGCAGCCCGTTGGCAACGAAATCAAGAAGCAAAGACCTTCATTTGACACTTCTTCACCAAAATAATGAGAAGCCACATATTCATAAAGATATTTTGAATCAAAAGGTATCTTGATAAAACCCCATTCGCTTAATTCTCTATATATGTACTATGTGATTTTTATTATTGGACTTGATCAAGCAAAATCTTAGCGATTTCGAATGGATACTTCATTCTGTAAACAAGTTCATAAACAAAGAAGAATAGAGAAACACTTGCGATAAATGGATCCTCTATATTTCTCTTTTCGTCAAGTCGTCACTACTTTTGCTGTGCTTCCAATATGATAATATCAAGTAAAGAATGATGAAATATTGTAGAGCACTATTTTAACTATCAGAGTTCTGCGACAGAACAAATATACTCCGTTAAGTGTGTTGATCTTTAGATAGTAAAACAATGTGGGGAGAGAGAGAGAGTATGCTTAACATTTAGAAATCATTGGTTGAAATTGACAAGTTCAAATATGTCTTCATTGACTTTAATAGGCATGCTTAAAATTGCTTGAGATTAGTCTTTTTTTTTACATAGAATGTTTCCTCTATATTTTATTTTATTTTATTTAGGTGCTGTACCAGAAAATTCGAAACAATATTATGGTTTTTACTCGATTTGCTATTGAATTAAATGAAGTTGATGATGATCTTCGACAACAATTACCATCAACAGATACACGTTTTCGACCTGATCAATGGCTTGTTGATTTTATTTTTATATTACTTTACTCGAAGCTGGACAAATCGATCAAGCTGAAAAAGAAAAAGCTCGTATTGAACAAGCTCAAGGATCACGTTCTGCAACTGGTCTATGCCCTAAATGGTTTAAACAAGATGGTGATTCATTTGTCCTTCTTCATGATGATGATTCAGCACATAATTATTGGAGAAAACGTGAAGAAAATTGGACTGGTGTCGAATTTAAATATTATCGTGCAATCATGAATGAAATATATTTATGGAAATATTTAATTTAAATATTGTGTTTATTATTAAAACAAATCATTGATGAATGTTTTGTTTAAAGAATATCTCTAAAATTGATGCATATTTCAAGTTAAAACTAAGATATGATTTTCGGATTGATCAAACCGAGTTCCATTTGAAGTTTTGTTACTTCCGATCTACTGAAATTAAGGTATCAAATACATGTTGAACTCTATGACCGATTATGTAAAAGTTTTAGAATAAAGAATTGGTTTAGAAAGATATTTGTGATTTTACATTAAATATCTTTTTATATGTCAATATTTTTAGAAAAACATCCTATTATGCTGAAGTAAAATTTCATCAACTTATTTAATAAAAACTGAAGAGAAGATAGATAATTAATCTTGATGATTTAATTTATGAGTTTATATATACTTTTTCGTTAAAAAAAATGTGGTTTTTTGGAAAATTCGATTTAGTTATGAGTAGACATGCACCAAATATATTTAACTTTTATCAACTACTTCCATTTATTGAAACAATTTTTAACAAAAATTATATTTATAAGAAAGGAAAGTATTGATGAAAATTTTCTGAACGAACAAACGGTTCAGCTATATAAAGGTTTTTCAATTTACCGAAATTGAGACATGCTGTATCATTGGTAAAATTGTTTGTTACAATTTCGAGTGATTCATATCCGACGAAGAGACGTAACAAACGAGGTAGATAAGTTTTTTTTTCAACAGAAATTGTTCAGCATAATCTGCATGTGTCATCTGTAGATGGAGAAGCGTAAGATGAGAAAATGTAATCGATGCAGAAAAATGTTGCTTGCCTTTTTGTGGTTGATCATTACATATATATAAGAATTTAAGAAAAGAAAAATCTTGAGAGATGAGTTTGAAGAATTTGTGTTCGAAAGGATGTCTATCAAGTATCTTCAAGTATCGAACTTTATCAAACATGCCACCTTGAAAAGAGTTGTTCAGATAAAGAAAATATTCGAATTGAAAGGGAAGTGAATAGATATGACATCGGCCTCTAGTCTTCATGGGCCAAGTATGAACATATGAACTAACTTGTCATATCCTCTTCCAATAAAACTACGTTGAACATTTTCATTTGATGAAAGATCAATTCTAATATTGTTATTGAGAACAGCTGTATTTATACTGAATGTTAGTTTGTTTAGTTGTGGCATATAAAAAAGAATTTCATCATATAATTAGATACCATCAACGTAAGTCGAGTCATATCTTATTACTGACAGATATAATATCAATTCTTCAAGATTTATCATTCGTCGAAGTAATGGAATAATCAGTTGGTCATAACAAAATGTGTCAGTATACGAGATCAATGAAAAACATTTCAATTTTAGAAGTTTTTTCTATAAAGAAAAAATAAAAATAACTATTTTTTCAGTTTAGTTTTTTCTCAAAACACAATGATCAAAATAATACGTACTGTGTTATATTTACATGATAGTGTTAACGAAATATTTTCCATGTGGATTGTCAATGACGATAAACAGTTGAAATGACCATCAAGAAGATAAAGACAGTCATGGAAAGTTGTAACTCTAATTGTCAATTTAGTTAAAGTTAAAGACATACAACTTTTTGATGGTCGAGTAGGAAACCACAGCAGCAAAGTTCGATAACGAAATAATTGGCAAAAATTTTAACTGATTAATCTTTTACTTAAAGATAATATTAACTCAAACTTGTTTGAAAGACTTCGGGAGAAATCTATTACAGTATCAACTTGAATATCAATATTAAGATCTGTGATTTGTTCAGTATAAGAAGATAACGAAGAATTGAATCATCTTCAATTCAAAAATAAAACAATTATTATTATTTTATGTCTAACAAATTCATAATAACGAACAAAAAACATACCTGTTAAATATTGAAAAAGTTCTTCTTCTTGAAAATTAATAAGTGATAACGAATAAAGTTAAGGATAATTAACAGTGAAAATTTGTTTCAGATAATGTGGTTCAACAATTAATTTATTTACTTGATCATAAATTCGAGGTAAGATTTTTTCACAAATTCTGGAAAGAACTTTATTGTCTACTGAACAGATATGATCAAACGACGCTTTTATGATCACGTCAAGATGACGAATATAAAGAGGATCAATTACTAATCGATCAAATCGTTCGTTAACATCAACCATATTCAGTTTGTTGAAAATAGTAATTAATATTTCATTGGGCAAATCGAGAATATTCATATTATCGTTATTTGAATACTCCATGTCCAACCGACACATTGTATGAATGTCAATCTATATATATCGTCATCTTTTCATTGTTTTCATGTTAGCCAATGATGAATATGTGATAGCATTTTTCTGTGTCGTATATTTTTTTCTTATACAGTAAAACCTCCCTATGTGGACACTTTCAGGTCCGCCCGAGCTTTTTTTGCTGGAAATGAACCTCCCAAATGTGGTCACCTCTATTCTGGACTGTAGGCACTTTTTTTCGGGTCCCACCATTAATAAAGAACCTCTTGAAAGTGGACAGTTGCCTGATTTCATACCATTATCGGTACAGTATCAAACATTAGAAAGAAAATGTTCAATGCAAAACTTTAAAAACTTGAGTGTGATCATGTCGCGATTTCTCATGCTGAAAATCAAGTCTTGTCTTCTAGATTTTTCTTTCTGGACACCCAATTTCTGTAGTTTTTATCTTTCAGAATTTTCGTTTTCGGATCTTGAGACACTCAATTATTATTTTAGTTTGAATTACTCTTAGACAATAATTAGTGTTCTATTTATTATTATTTAAAAACAATTAACTTATTTGTAAACGTTTTGGGAACATCTCTTTCTTCTTCAGTGTATTTTAACAATAAATTATATAACAGAACGAAAAGACAATTGTATTTTTCTTTTTCTTTTTCTTCATTTATCGTTCTTTATTACTGATACGGAAGAAAATAAACTTTAACTCATCTCGTCCAATATTATCGTTTTGTTTCTTCTTCCATTGCAGTTATCAAGAATGATAAACGATGAAAAAAAACGACATTGTCGATTTGTTCTGTTATAAAACTTATTTTTAAAATGCATTGAAGAAGAAAGCAGATACTTTCGAAACGTTTCTAAGTGAATTATTTGTCTCTAATTAGTAATAAAAAATATAAAGTATTGTGGAACAGTACTTCAAACTGAAATAAGAATTGTAATGTTCTTTCAATTGAAAGCGCAACATTTGTACCAGAGTTGTAACCGGTCAAAAAAATTCAGACCGGACCGGCCTGACCGGTTTAAATCTTAGACCGGCCCGGCCCGGCCGGTGACCGGCCGGTCTAAAAATAGTTTTAGACCGGCAAAAACCGGCAGACGTATGAATTTTCTTTACATGGTAAAACTAATTCTAGACATAGACCTTTTATCCATAAATTGATTTTTACACTTTCCTTTTCATGTATATTATCATTTTCATAGCAAACAATAACACAAATTTCTACGATTGAATATGTTCTGGACAAAATAAAGTTCTTTTCTGCAAAAGCTGATAATTGATTTAAATTTCTTCTTTTATTATATACAAAATTTACACAAAAAAAATATCATAATGATACATATTAAATTAACAAACCATGTGTCCGCATCCATAATAATTATAAAAATAAGAAGTTTATGTTACGTACTTTTACTGTGTTGAATAAAAAAAATATATGACGAATACTTATCGTATCGTGCGTATATCTATCTGTACAATCAGCTTGACGGCCTACTCTCTTTTTTATTAATTTAATTAAAGATGTGTCGGCATGTTAACAAGAATTGAATTAATATCAAAAGGAATACATAAAAAAGAAATAACAATCAATATGTGACACTGCTCTGATTATTAAGATGTTGTAAATAGCAGATAATAGAAATCTTTTAAGAGGAAATTTAATGTATAGAAAAATTTGAATTTACATCGAAAAACAAAACTTTTGTTCTTTTCGTTTCAAAAATTGTAATGAACAGAAATAAATAATATTATCTTATTAAAAAATTAATAATAACACAACTTTTTCAAACCAGCAAAAACCGGTAAAAACCGGCCGGTCTAGCTGTTCAAACCGGCCCGGCCCGGCACCGGACCGGACCGGCCGGTCCGTGCCGGTTTCGCCGGGCCGGTTACAACTCTGATTTGTACGGATGTGGATGGGTGTGGGCTGTGGATATAAGTGTGACTTCGGATAGAAACAAACTCACATCCACACCCATACCCACACCCACACCTACACCTACACCCACACCCTGACCCACACCCATCCACATTCACCCACACCGACACACTCATATCCATACACCACCTATCATGTCATCTAAAAATAATTTGAAATTAGCTTTCATCTATTAATACCCTGAAATTTATAGATAATTGTGAGTGGATGTGTGGGTATCAATGTGAAAGAAGATCATCAACCCTACACCCACACTCACCACAGCCACATCCCACACCTCACAATCACACCAAAGATGGTGTCAAACTTTCTTGTTCAAGTTTATTCTATGATTTTCAAAGTGAATGAGTCCGATATAATGTTCGTAGACTGACATTGGTCTTCGCGGGATGAATAATGTGCTTTCCGTCACGTATGAGTTGGGGTAAATCCGTTAGGTTATAAGCATGCCACCGTATAGCCATGTTACTGGTGTTGTATTTAGCCATATTTAAATTGTCCATAGCTACTATAGTAGAAAGCATAAATTCTTGAAAATAGTTCCTGACGTCAGCCTTCTTGTAAAACGATTTTATACGTAGCATATGTTCACTAAAGTCCGAAAGTAATTTATTCGAGAGGCGCACAAGTGGATTGAAACTGCGGGTCCAATATCTGAGCGGAAATATTGTTTCATTGGCAATAGGTGGCCAATGAGGCCATTTAGGATTAGTATCATAAGACTCTATAATGGCAGTTAATAGATCGCTCTGATCATCTCGATACGCATCAAATAGGTTCATCATGTACTGGACATCAGTGAATTGAACATCTTCTTCCATGATCCATACATACGAAAA